GCTCCTTGAGTTCTCTCCAGCGCTGGAAAGCTGATTCGATATTTACACGGGTCCTACTTCTTGCCTTAAGCCTTCTTTTGTTCCACAGACATTTTCCTCTTTTGTTTTTTTTATCTGCCATCTTTCTTTGGCGCTATCTTTCTGTCGCTCGGCTCGGACTGAATGCTCTCTCCTCCACATCATGAGTAGACACGCCCCTTACTGCTGATTGGCTACAAGTTTGTTTTGCTAGTCGGCCCGAATGAGTTTTCTAAAGCGTTTTTGAAAAATCGCTTACCCCACCTTTAAGAGTCAGTCTTAAGGCCCACTCACACCAATATTCCAATGATATCGTTTCTCGGTGTCTTTATCGTTATAGCTGTGGTGTGGACTCCTGCTAGTGTTTAATATTGAGAACGATTTTTAGAACTATATCTTTATAGTTATCTTTACAGTTATCGTGCTTGGTGTGAACGGGCCTTAAGACTTTACTAAAAGTTGCTTTTAGCTTCTTTATTAAAGTCTCCTACTCTTAGAAAAGCCCTACTTGTAACTAAGAATTTTTTTACACTTAAGTCAAAGCTTTTCTGAGAAGTGTTATACATGCAGACCGTGAATTGGCACTTATTATAAGCTGAATTTACTGCATTACAATTCAGAGGCTCAATTCTGAATAACATATTAACACACTACTAGAATGTTATTTCACACAGAGTCGCTTCTGGAAGAAAAAACTCCATTCATTTTCTGAGTTAATTTTTTACTTTGAATATTTTAAATTAGTTTTTAATTGTGTATTTTCAGCTATAATTATAAATTATAGTTAATTTTAGTTATAATTATCAATTATTATAATTTAAATCATTTTAAATTATTAAATGATCTTGTCATTTTGTTGTGGTTCTGACATTTTTATTATTTTTAGTTTATTTTATTATTAAATATTACTATTAAATATGTTACTATTTAGTTATAGTAATTGATAATTTATTTTTTATTTATTTCCAGTTAGTAATTTTAATGCTTCAACTTAAATAAATTTTAGTATGTAACATTTCTAATTTTCTCAAATTCTAATATTTTATTTTATTTCATTTCTCTTCTAGCGGAAGGCGGATCTGCGGACCGTCATTCCCACTGGATAGTCTTCAGCTAAAACGTCCTGACGCCTAAGGCCCAGGACTTCTGAGGGCCGGCCCCCTCTGGGGAAGAGCGGTGTACACCTCATTATACGGTGGCTGTCTCTCCTCAGTGCTCTCAGGAGATCGATCTGCCAACCCTGCCACCTACGGTGCTTCAGGGCGCACCGGTCTTCGGCGAGCGCTTCTCTCAGTCACCGCCCGGAAACGTAGCGGTACTAAGAGGCTCGCTACTCCTTGGGAGGTTTCTAGGGCAGCTAGTTCGGCCATTCCCTGCCGGTCCGCCGCACTAAGTGCACCAGAGGCCAGTCTCGAGAGACTGGTTCCCTTAGTAGGTCACCTGGTGGTGTGGGAGCCCCTGCCAAGCTTGGTTCTATCAGTCTAGTCTTCCTAGGAGATGACGAGGGTCTGAGGACCGTAGTTTTCAATAGGAGACTTCAGCTTAGAGAGTCCAGATGCCATGCCTACATGCCTTAGACATGTGGAGTAACCTTGGTTCTTGTCTCAGGGCCCGGTGCTGGGAGCTCCTTGTCGTCGTGTAATGCTAGTGACGAACGCGTCCCTCACTGGTTGAGGAGCGGTCATGAGTGGCCGCTCAGCCAGCGGTCTGTGGAGCGGCCGCCATCTCATGTGGCACTTCAACTGCCTGGAGATGTTGGCTGTGTTTCTAGCATTGAAACACTTTCTCCCAGGCCTAAGAGGTCGCCATGTGTTGGTGCACCGATGACACATCGGCATTTTCTTAAATCAACCACCAGGGAGGTCTGCGTTTGCGCTCCCTTTACAGGCAGGCGCACCAGATCCTTGTGTGGTCCATGGGCAAACTCCTTTCGCTGAGAGTAGTTCACATTCCTGGGCTTCTCAATATGGGAGCAGAGATCCTGTCGAGGCAGGGGCCGAGGCCCGGGGAATGGAGACTTCACCACGAGGTGGTGAAACAGATATAGAGAGTTTTTGGCCAGGCTCAGGTGGACCTGTTTGCGACTCGAGAGACATCGCCCTGTCCCCTCTGGTTTTCTCTGACTCATCCAGCTCCTCTCGGACTGGACGCTATGGTATTTTCCCGCCAAGGTGTTTTTTTTTTTTATTATAATTTTCACAAAACTTTCACAGTCTCCAGAATATTTAGTTAATATTTAATATTTGGACTCTGCTATTCTTTTATATTGAGAATGATTTTTAGAACTATATCTTTATCGTTATCTTTACAGTTATCGTGCTTGGTGTGAACGGGCCTTAAGACTTTACTAAAAGTTGCTTTTAGCTTCTTTATTAAAGTCTCCTACTCTTAGAAAAGCCCTACTTGTAACTAAGAATTTTTTTACACTTAAGTCAAAGCTTTTCTGAGAAGTGTTATACATGCAGACCGTGAATTGGCACTTATTATAAGCTGAATTTACTGCATTACAATTCAGAGGCTCAATTCTGAATAACATATTAACACACTACTAGAATGTTATTTCATACAGAGTCGCTTCTGGAAGAAAAAACTCCATTCATTTTCTGAGTTCATTTTTAACTTTGAATATTTTAAATTAGTTTTTAATTGTGTATTTTCAGCTATAATTATAAATTATAGTTAATTTTAGTTATAATTATCAATTATTATAATTTAAATCATTTTAAATTATTAAATGATCTTGTCATTTTGTTGTGGTTCTGACATTTTTATTATTTTTAGTTTATTTTATTATTAAATATTACTATTAAATATGTTACTATTTAGTTATAGTAATTGATAATTTATTTTTTATTTATTTCCAGTTAGTAATTTTAATGCTTCAACTTAAATAAATTTTAGTATGTAACATTTCTAATTTTCTCAAATTCTAATATTTTATTTTATTTCATTTCTCTTCTAGCGGAAGGCGGATCTGCGGACCGTCATTCCCACTGGATAGTCTTCAGCTAAAACGTCCTGACGCCTAAGGCCCAGGACTTCTGAGGGCCGGCCCCCTCTGGGGAAGAGCGGTGTACACCTCATTATACGGTGGCTGTCTCTCCTCAGTGCTCTCAGGAGATCGATCTGCCAACCCTGCCACCTACGGTGCTTCAGGGCGCACCGGTCTTCGGCGAGCGCTTCTCTCAGTCACCGCCCGGAAACGTAGCGGTACTAAGAGGCTCGCTACTCCTTGGGAGGTTTCTAGGGCAGCTAGTTCGGCCATTCCCTGCCGGTCCGCCGCACTAAGTGCACCAGAGGCCAGTCTCGAGAGACTGGTTCCCTTAGTAGGTCACCTGGTGGTGTGGGAGCCCCTGCCAAGCTTGGTTCTATCAGTCTAGTCTTCCTAGGAGATGACGAGGGTCTGAGGACCGTAGTTTTCAATAGGAGACTTCAGCTTAGAGAGTCCAGATGCCATGCCTACGTGCCTTAGACATGTGGAGTAACCTTGGTTCTTGTCTCAGGGCCCGGTGCTGGGAGCTCCTTGTCGTCGTGTAATGCTAGTGACGAACGCGTCCCTCACTGGTTGAGGAGCGGTCATGAGTGGCCGCTCAGCCAGCGGTCTGTGGAGCGGCCGCCATCTCATGTGGCACTTCAACTGCCTGGAGGTGCTGGCTGTGTTTCTAGCATTGAAACACTTTCTCCCAGGCCTAAGAGGTCGCCATGTGTTGGTGCACCGATGACACATCGGCATTTTCTTAAATCAACCACCAGGGAGGTCTGCGTTTGCGCTCCCTTTACAGGCAGGCGCACCAGATCCTTGTGTGGTCCATGGGCAAACTCCTTTCGCTGAGAGTAGTTCACATTCCTGGGCTTCTCAATATGGGAGCAGAGATCCTGTCGAGGCAGGGGCCGAGGCCCGGGGAATGGAGACTTCACCACGAGGTGGTGAAACAGATATAGAGAGTTTTTGGCCAGGCTCAGGTGGACCTGTTTGCGACTCGAGAGACATTGCCCTGTCCCCTCTGGTTTTCTCTGACTCATCCAGCTCCTCTCGGACTGGACGCTATGGTACAGACGTGGCCGAGGCTTCGTCTGTACGCCTTTTTCCCCCAATCGCTCTGCTCTCAGGAGTTCTGGAGAGAGTGTGCCGGGACGGGGTCCGTCTACTGTTGGTAGCTCAATTCTGGCCGTGGGAGATACCCATCAGGAGGGTACCATCTTCAACCCCGCCCAGAACTGTGGAAGTGTGGGTGTGGCCTCTGAGCCTGTCTCTCAACCGAGGTTGTTGAGACCATTCACCCATCCAGAGCTCCCGAGGAAACTGTATACCCTGAAGTGGAATTTTTTCACTTCTTGGTGCGGAGACCACCAGCTCGACCCAGTTTACTGCCCAGTTGGTACAGTGCTGGAGTTCCTGCAGGCCCGTTTCTCTGCAGGGTTGACCCACTCCACCTTGAAAGTCTATGTGTCGGTGGCCAGTCAGTGGACAGACACCCCCTAGTTACATGTTTCCTCCACTATGCACTGAGGCTGAGGCCTCTGGCCAGAGAAGCTTATGCTAAGCGGTAGATCAGGATGCTCCTTCTGAAGTTGGCCTTCGGGACGCTATGTGTTGTCCCCGCCTACTTTGTCAGGTGCCTTCCTGCATTCTGCGCCACTCCTGGCTCCTTTCTCTCACCTTAGCTGTGCTCTTCCACACTAGGCAGGGATTTGTAAGTCTGGCCGCGTGGGCATACTCGTTCCCAAAGCGTTTTCTGACGCAGCTCGAATTCCTGAAGGGGAACGTCTCCAGGTTATGTATGTAACCATGGTTCCCCGAAGGGAACGAGATGCTGCGTCTCAGTGCCATACTTCCGGCATCCCTGCGAGCGCTTGCTTCATTCCTAGAAGCTGACGCCGGTTCCACCGCACGTGCTTTTATAGCTTCCTAGTCGCAACGTCACCCGCCCATGACGTCTCGCCCATCTATTGGACTGATTTCATATGTGATTCAGAGCATGGTCACGCTGGGGGTGTTCCCAAAGCATTTTCCGACGCAGTGTCCCGTTCCCTCGGGGAACCATAGTTACATTCGTAACCTGGAGACGTTATACACAACCACATATATTTTGCACATCATTTATTTTAGTATTATTTATATACTACTACCGTTTTTAGTAATTTGTTTAATTTTGTTGTGCTTTTGCTATTTTTATTAGTTTAAATTAAATATTACTATTTAGTAATAATCATTTATTTTATTTAAGTTTTAGTTATTCATTAAATGTTAGTTATATTACTAATATTCATTTGTATTTTTTTTTCCAGTTTTAGTTCATTTTTAGTTGTCAAAGAGAAACCTGCGGTGATCGTTAATTGATGGTATTTTCTTTCGTTGAAGCCATCAGTCATCATTATTTGAGCATATTTGTTTGTTGCATATGTTTAACAGCGAAAAACTACATTACCCATGATTCTGCAGAGAACTCTCCACCAATCAGGGAGTCTCAAGAAAATAGTGCAACAGTCAGTTCCAGAAGTAAAAAGCCCATTCATTTTCTCGATTGGGGAATTGATTTTTAGCCTCTTTTTGTTAGCTCTGAGGTCGTTAATCAATGGTAAATGCTTTCGTTAAAGCCGTCAGACCACATTATTTCAACTCGTATTTAAACAGTTTAACAGCTACATTACCCATGATTCTGCAGAGAACTCTCCCCCAATCAGAGAAGCAAATTGTGCCAAAACTACAGGTTAATCTTCTCTATGAGGTGCAATGATGAGCAGAGGAAAACACAGAAACATCTCTGGAATGCTTGATTGTGATTGGTCAGTGAATATTGTTGCATAATCACTAATTTTCTGTGGTGGTTTTCCATCGAGGTTCGATTGTGGCGGCGATTCTGGCCAGTGACGCGGACTCGGGATCAAACGGTGAGATCACGTACTCCATCGAGGAGGATGAGGAGGACTCCACCTTCCTCCTGAACCCCGTCACCGGCGTCTTCAGCGTCACCCGTCCGCTGGACTTCGAGTCTCAGCAGCACTTCATCCTGACGGCGCAGGCCCGGGACGGAGGAGGTCTGTCCAGCTCCGTACGAGTCTACTTCAACCTGCTGGATATGAACGATAACCCGCCGCGCTTCAGCAGCTCCGTCTACAGCGGCTCGGTCCTGGAGAGCGTGAGTCCCGGAGCGACCGTCCTGAGCGTGAGCGCCACAGACACCGACGACGGTAAACACCTCTGAGATCTCACTCATGATTCACTGTACGAATGCTGAGATCCGCCTGAGCTGTTCGCATTTCATTTCATCAAAACATATGATATTACACGTGTGTTTATGGTCTGAATAACACAATACAAGCCTAAAATATTCACTTGAAACTCCCCTGAGATTTTGAGTTACTTTTTCAGTAATCAAGCGACACATTTATAGGTACAAGTGTTTTATTGTTTTTTTTATTTTATTTTATTATTATTTATTTCATTATGTAAATATTTTGTTGTATTATTTTTATTTTATTTTTAAATTATTTATTTTTATTTTACTTTTTTAATTATTAGTTGTTGTTTTTTCAACTTTCAAACCACAGTTTCATTCACGGTTACAAGTTTTATTATTTTGTTATTTTATTTTATTATGTAAATATTTGGTTGTATTTTATTTTTGAATTAGAATTTAAAAATTATTTGAATTTTAATTAATTTATTATTTAATTAATTATTAGTTTTTTTTATCAACTCGCAAACCTCAGTTTGGGAAACCCTGCTCTAATGGACATAAAAATACATAATTTTACCTAATATTTTTGTGTAATATGTTAATTAGATTAAAATCCTTAATACTTTTTGTATTTATAATAATGTATAATATATACACAAATGTGCTTCCTTTTTGTACTTTAATTCAAATTCAGGTTGATTAGTTAAGTTAGTTTGTCTTTAAATTATCCCAAAAAAAAATATTGTTTTTGTTGTTTATTTTCTGTTCTGAATGAAATGCATACAAATAATTGAATTTTTCTCAATTTCAATTTATTTTTTCCAAAATGTTTTTTTCTCTATATGTTGCCCTTCTTTAATGATTTTAATAACATTTACGCTGTTTTCTACAACAATAAATTACCTTAATTTAAAGTTGCATTTTAATGTAAGAATGTTGACAAATGCTAATATCATAGCATAGAATACTATTTATTATATATATATATATATATATATATATATATATAT